ACGCTAGACAAACATAACACACACACACAACACCTACAACGCACAAAAAGCACGCACAACACAGAGCACACATCACACACACATATACACACCCACACAACACTCACAATCATGGGGCCTCCTGGAGCCTCTTCTGGTATCCAAGTCGGGCCTTCTGAGGCTTCCTGGGGGGCCTTGGTACACACATCGCAAGGTGTGGCAACCCCACTTGCGCTCGAGTGCGACTTCGCTGTTGCATTTCACTCCTGCTTCAAACGCCCCTTCAGTTTTTTTTTGTTTGTTTCTTTTTTTAGCCTGGGCACACACGTGCCACTTGTACATGTATATACACGATAGGACACTTCGCACGATCGTGCTTCAGCCCGCACAAGCCCTTGATAAACTCGCAGCGGCACATGCGCACGAGCCCGCACATGTATTATACATTAGGGAAGGAACAATAATACGGACCGAACAACGCCCGTGTAACATCAGTGCGAAACAATGCCACGCAAAATAACACACGTGACACTGAAATGGAATGTCGCAAATTTCCCTGGGAACCATCATCAAGTGCAATGCAACGCAATGCGCAACCAGTGCAATGTAGTGTAATGAAAGATCTGCCAACGCAGACTCAACTCTATCGGAAAACTGACATGAAGTAGACTGGAACAAACTACCTCTATGGCACGCGTAGCTTGCACCGCTGAGCTTACGCCAAAGCTTGCGCCAAATATCTTCCACCGCATAACTGGCCCCAAGTTGCTTGCACCACATAGCTTTCACCGCATAGCAAGCCTGTGCCCACTTTCTTTCGACCGGCAGTGCGAAGAGTGCTTTTCGCGGCCTCGGCCGCCAGCGAACTTCTGATGCCGAGGATCGGGGTCTCTTGTATTTGCCCTTGTTTGGGAGACCCGTGGCTTCGGTCGGACTCGGCTGTGGCTGGCGCTTATGTGCGCCGTGTTAGGGCGTTTTAAGCGAAACCACGGCCAAACCAGGCAAATCGCATGGACGTCTCAAGCGAAACCGCGCCCGCATCTGGCCCAGCCAGGAAAATCGTGTGGAGGTATCAGGCGAAGCAGAGCCTAAACCATGCCACACCAAGGACATCTTGAGAACGCATCGAACGAAACCGCGGCCTGGCCGAACAAAGCAAAGAGCGAGGATGTCGCAAGCAAAACCGCACGGCAACCAAATCGCGAGGATAACGTTATCTCAAGCGAAACAACGCTGAAGCCAGGCCAAACCAGACAAGTTGTGAGAACGTCCCAAGCGAGACCGACCCCCAAGCAAGCCAAACCAGGGCCCACACCATGCAAACTCTGAGGGTATCTTCAGTTGGCCAAGCCAGAAGCCAAACCGTGCAAATTCCGAGGATGTCCCGAGCGAGACCAGCCAAACCAGGCCACATGCACCCTCTTTAGCCTAAATGAACAAAAAGGAGTGGACGACCCCAGGGTGTCCCACTGCAGGGGGTCCTTCAATTAGAGATTTTTTCTCCACGACAATGCGAAGAGAGCTACGTGCCCCTGTGCTTGCCTCTCGACGCAAGCAGCCGAGGATGTGTGAAACGGTGAAACTGGGAAGGGGAGCAGATGGAGGAAGGCGACGAGCCCAAACAGAAAGGAGAAGAAGAGCGGATGAGGACGAGGCCAGGGCGATAAATACACGTGCGTCGTGTGCGGGTTCCCGATGCCCCAAACGGCAATTGATATAGACCATGCAGCGGCAGCCAGGAAACGTGAGCGGCCAAGAGGGCGAAGAGTAGGGGGGAGGCAAGCTACGGGCAGCGTGGCGAGCTCACCCTGAACGCGTACCATAGGTTATACCCCATATTACCTCGTGCTGAAATTGGCTACGTGCCCAGGCCGAGGCGGCCAGTGACAATGTGCACGCAAACCCACATGTGCATAACAGGCACTGGGAGATGGAAGGGGGCGGAAAGAGAGAAGAGACTGGAGGGAGGCGTGGAGCCGGAGGTCACCGGTAGAAGCACAAGGAAAGAGGTTGCTGTACAGTGCATCTAGTACGACGGGTCAGTGGCATCGCCTGTAGAAGCCATACTAGACTCATCATGAACGCGGGTCCCTGAAGAAAACGGAGGCCGATGGGCGCTTGGAGACGGGTGCAAATATGACGGCACTTCCAATGGCCCGCCTGCGCAACGTCCCGCTGCGGGGTTCTGCACCGAAGACGGGAAAGCCAGTAGTGATGGACAAAGTAAAGGGGGAATGAGAGGTAATTGTATGCAGTGGTAGTGGAAATGGCAGCGGCCTGTGGCGTCGGTAGGGTCAATGCGTTAAACATTTGTTGATCGAACCTTTGTCTGCTGACATGTTGGCAGGGGTGGCCAGGGTAACGACAGTGGCAGCGAGCATGGCAATGGCCGTGAACATGGCAGCGAGAATGGTGGGTACCGTGGTATTGCTCGGCACCGTCGCTTGCCTCCCTGCGTTACCTGGAGGCGGGCCAGCTTAACCTCGCCCGCCCCCTCGTTCGGCTGGCGCTCCGCTGAACGCTGTGACCATACGTCGCTGGCTGCCTGTCGTTCGTGTGGTAGCTGCGCTTGCTTCGCACAGCGAGAGAGAGAGAGAGAAGGGCAGACAGAAATAGAGAGAGAGAGAGAGAGAAAAAGAACGTGGGAAACGCGAGGATCGGAAACTGAGAACGGACTACATGCATGAGACAGGAAGGTCGCGCTGCCGTCGTATCGATCAGACCGCCTTGGTCAGGAACGGGATGAGGGGCATGGGCATGGGGAAAAAGGAAGGTGGAAAGGGCTTCAGTATGTATGTGAGTGAGGAGATGGCGGGGAAGGTGGATGGAATAGGTTGGAGGGGGAGGAAAGAGGAAGGGAAGGATGATGAAGGGAGGGGGGAGAGTGAGGGCGATGATGGAACGGGAAAACAAGAGTGAGGGGGAGATGGGTCGTCATTTTCCTCCACCTTCTTCTCCTTCCCTCTCCTTTCCTCTCCTCGCTCCCTCCTCCTCCTTCGCCTCCTCCTCCTACTCCCTCTCTACTTCCTTCTCATTCCCCTCCTCCTCCTCCTCCTCTCTCCTCTCTCCTCCTTCCCGTCCGTCCTCCTCCTCCTCCTCCTTCTTCTTCTCCTCCTCACGGAAACATTGCATACGGCTTCCACGCAGCTCGCTTTCTCGTTTGGCCGCCGGCCGCCAGACCAGGTGGATAAGCCCCTCACCCGTTGAGATGAAGTACCTCGCCACCTGGGCGTCGAAACAATAAAGTCAATGACGGATGTTTGTGAAGATTGAGCGACGAAGAACGGCATGAAAATGTACAGCACGATCCTCCAATTCCAAGTCGTCAACCTTCTCCCCTCTGGGCCTCGTCTATCTCATCCCCTCCCTCTGGCTGCACCGACGATCTCCCCTCCCTCCGTTATCTCCTCCTCTACATCCACCCTCAACGCCTAGTTTCCCTCCAACCCCTCCCCCGTCCTCCTTCTCCTTCACCTGCCTCTGCTGCTGCGTCGCCGTCTCCTTCTCCTCCTCCTTCTCCTCCTCTTTCTCCTCCTCATCTTGCCCTCCCCATCTTTCTCCTCCTTCCTCGCCGTCCTCCCCCATCCCCCCCCATCCTGCCGTTCTCCTTAACGTGCTCCCTGGCGTCCTCTCCCCCTCCTGCTGCGTCATCCCCGTTCTCCTCCTCCAACCTCCTCCTTCTCGTCGTCTTCCTCCTCCTCGGCCACCTCTTGCTTCTTGCCCTCCTCCTGCTTCTCGACATCCCCCTCCTTCTCGAACTCTTTCTCTTCCCCTCTGCTCCTCCTCCTGATCCTTCTCTTGCCACTTCTGCTCCTTGACCAGAGCTTCTACCTCCTCCTCCTCCCTCCCTGAAGCCTTGAAAGATCGAGGATGAAGATGGGGATTTTGGATAGTGTTTCCCCCTTCGGGGCATACGGATGTCTCTGGAAGCCCCTGCGAATTTCCGGAGACCTGCCTGGACCTTCGGACACCTCTATGGACCCTCCGAAGCATCACCCCCATCACTGTCCAGCCAGCGCACGAGGCGCCCAGAAGGCGCCCACGGGCGAGCACTGGGGGAAGCCTCGTGAAACTGAGCCAGCGCACGAAGTGCCCAGGAAACAACCACATGAGGGCACCCGGCGACAACCCCGGGAACCCACAACATGCCTAGTGAGAACCCCTTAGTGCAAGCACAGGTCGGGACAAGGACGAATGAGGGATAGAGAAGGAATAGGGAGGATAACGATGGATGGGGGCAGGAGGAGACCCGCCACCTGGGCAGTCGACGCCAGCGGGGAGGAGGCGTCGAAGATGCAGCTGCTCGTCCGCAGCTGCGACAACGGCCGCTCCAGCGCGCGGGCCACGCCGCGCGAGAGCAGCAGCTGCGCGCCCCACAGGTCCTGAGCAGAAGGCATGATGCATCTATACACCACCATGCGGCATCCTGGGACCTGGCACAGGTCTGTACGCCCTCCTGGCCGAGGCTGGAATGATCTACGATCGGGAACTTTTGCTTCGGGTGTCGCGGCGGCGTCTCCAGCGACACGCTACGCCCTGCGAGTTGATAGCGTGCCGCTCTGCTCCACAGGGCGGGAGACTTCGGGCGGCTCGGGACGTTGACGTTCGGGGACCAGGACGTGATTTGCGCGTCGCGCCGCAGCGTGGTGGACCAGAACAGGCGGCGTCTCACGCTAACCAGACTTTCCCGACCGTCTACATCCTCGGAGGGCGCAGGATGGCCATGGCCAGGCACGGTGGTGTCTGGCTGTTTCTACGGAAGTCCCCCCGCTGCAGCAGCCGCGCCACCGCGGCGTCCAGCCTTGTCGCCGTCGCCGATCGTCATAGAACGTCGTCGTCGTGGTCGTCGTGGTCGTCGTGGTCGTCGTCGTCGTCGTCGACTGTCAACCGTCGACTTCGTCGTCGTCGCTATCGTCTTCGTCGTCGCCGTCGCCTCGCCGCCCGCGGCTTGGTGAGGATGTCGAAGAAGTTGATGATGTTGCATATGCGCACCTCGAGGGAGAGGAATCAACGGGGTTTGGACGTCCTTGGTACTCCTTTGGCTTCCACACGGCAGGTTTGTGTCGTAACGACTTCGGCGTTGGTTTCTGACACTGCGTGGATCGTTCAATCTTGAACGATCGCGGCTTGCCGATAACTCGGATCTTCTGGTGTCGGCCGACTTTGGGCCACTGGCAGCGTTCAACCTTGAACGCATGCGCCTGGGCCACTGCCGCGCCGACGCACATGGGCCCCAGATGCAGGAAAATGCCGAAAACCTCAGGTCGTGACTTCTTCACGACTCGAGGATGTCGGGGTCTGCGGACCTCCAGGGGGCCTCAGAGATAGGAACAGTCACCACCACGAAGCCTCCACAGAGGCCCCTCGAAGCTGAAGCTTTCTGAGCGAAGATGGCCAGCGATCGTGGACGAGGGGGCACCCTTACGAGAGCCACTCGTCCTGGTGACCCTGTCTGACTGCATGCACATCGGCCCCCGGCCAGGCCAGGAGGCCACCCGCACCGAGATCCGGGCCCAGGGTGGGCCTTTTCTGCGAGGGCGTCCTGAAAAGCCGCGAACATGCTGCAGAAGGTGCGCGCCCCTGCGAGGCCTGCGACGACATTTTGCTGGGCGGCCGCCGCGGTGCGGGGCACAGCGCCGTCGAGCCAGCAGACGGAGACGCGGGCTGGCCGACTGCGCACCCGCGCGGCAAGAGAAGGAACGAGCCCCGGACGCCCGCGGGCGGCCACCCCCACCAGCGCCGGGTGCCCTCCCCGCGCCCCTCAACGGCGCCGTCTGCCAGGGGATCGATCATCGATCCTCGATCGATCCTTGGTCGAGGATTAGCAGCAACGGCGATCCTCGATCGACGATCGAAGATCCTCCAGGATCGATCCTCGATGAACGATCCTCGTTCGATCCTCTGCGGGGAGAGGGGCCGGCGGAGAAAACATATCAACCTGCGACGGGACCCCCCCCCTACGCAGACGCTCGACATGAGACAAGGGCACGCGATGAACGTGGCGCGGACGGAAACGTTACGGCATGAGGGGAGGGGAAGGAGGGGGACGACGACGACAAGGAGGGAAGGAGAAGGAGCGCAAAGCGGGCGGCTCCCCGAGAATGTGCTGGCATCCCCGGGATCACACCACAACCTTCTGAGAATCTGGAAAACCATTCGATCGGTCGAATACGCCGGGGTGAGAGGAGAGGGGGGGAGGGACAGCGACAGGAAGAGCGGAGGGAACACACAACACAACAGTCCTGCACAAGCAAAACACAGAATAAAGACGCGAAGGAACGCGCGTGTTGCTCATATGTACGCTCTCCGCCTTGCCCACTCCCCCAAGGGCGCTGCAACGCGCGCGCCTCCACGCCGACGAACCCGGCGGCCGCGAGTCGCGCCACCTCCCGAAATCGACCCGCGAAATCGGAAAATCGAGAAATCGGATCGCGAAGTTCGCCGCCGCGGCCCGAGCTGTGCCGAATCGCGGTACCAGATCGGGTCGGCAGCGGATCGGATCACGCCTGGGTCAACGCGGGATCGGATCGGGACAGGGTTGTTTAAGGATCGCGGATCGGGCTCGGCCCCAGGGCCAGAGATGGAGTCGGTTCGTGCCAGATCAGACCAGATGGAAATCGGAATCAACATCTGGAGGTCGAATCGGCTCGTGAGCAGCCCTGCCTCCTGCTCTGCCGTGACGGCCGCGTAGAACATGCGCTGCCCGGTGTCGACCGGGTAGTAATAGGAGCCCTCGAACGTCGCCAGGCCCAGGAGACCCTGCAGCCACGCCCGCGCCTCTGGCAAGTCCGTCTCTGCGGCGGCGCGGCGGCGGGCCGCGTACTCGCGCTGGAAGCGGACGTGGTTGTTCGTGGTCGAGGCCACGTTCATCACGTGCCGGCCGGCGCGCGCAAAGAGCTCGAGAAGCCCCATGGCGCTCAGAGAGGGCGTGTTTGGGATGCACGACAGAGTGCCCCAGCCCACCACGATCACGTCGTAGAGCTCGTGGCGTGCCCGCAGGAGCCCCTCAACGGTGTGCACATCCATGCCCCCGCCTGAGGGGGAGCGACATGGGGGGCTGGATCAGGGGGGAAAAGCACCGACCTGCATTCGACGATACATCGCCGATGCAACCCCCGATAGCGAAACCGCACGTTCCTAGGCGGCGTGGGCTATCTGGCCCCTGTCGGCGATGAGTGGTCGCTAGTGGATCGATCCTCGACCTCCAAAAGTCCACTCGGATGCGCTGCCCGTGAGCTTATATCCCCCGTATGCGGAGCAGAGGGAGTTGAGACAACGGCAGCTCAAAATCAGTCCCTGAACCCCTCCCAAGCCAAACGCACCAGTTTTCCGAGCTGCGTCCAGCAGTGGCGACGAGGGGCCCCCCCGAATGCCAACTGCCGTTGTCTCGATCCGCGTCTCCTCCGACCCATCCTTGCCCCTGGCCACCGCCCAGCGCAAACTCAACCTCGAGCTGCGCGCCCCGCAGCGCCACGAGCCCGCGCCGCTCCGAGCCCGGACACCCCGGTGGCTCGGGCGAGGGCGCCGCCGCCGCCTCGGACGCATCGGACAGGCCGGCCGCTCGTGCGCGCGAGGAGAAGCTGCGCAACGCCTCCACCGAGACGTCGTAGGCGACGACCTGGAGCCTGCAGCCGGGCCTTCCTGGGAGGGCGCCAGCTGCCCACCTCACCGACCCTGGCCGGGCCGACCCCGGCCCCGCAGGCAGCATCGGCGCGCGCATGCCCTCCTGGCCGGGCCCAGGGAAGCCTGAGCACCGATCCCAGGCTCCAAGGTGGGCCCGGCCAGGACCGGCGTGGGTGCACAGTAGACACACACGATACGACATCTTGCTAAGAGGCATCTTGGGGCACAGTCTTCGTCGAGCTTCAAGGGTCCTGAAGTGCCCCAGGAGCTTCTGTGGGTCCCGGAAGCCAACCGGGGGTTCACTCATATCCGGGGGTCACCTGCTGGCAAGCAGAACTTCTTATCTGATGTGCCTTCTGCATTGCTTACATCCTTCCTCCGATCCGTCACCCCTGCTGCCCAGGGCCTCCGCGGTCCGCAGGTACTGCCGCAGGTACCGGCCGTCCCCGCAGCCAAAATCGAGCACGAGCAGCGGCTCCTCCAGGCCGGTACCCTCGAGGCGCTTGCCGCGCGCCGCCTCGGCCACCAAGCGCTCAAAGGCCTCGCGCTCCTCTGTCGCGGGCCGGAGATCGGAAGGTAAGACTTGCGTTGCGCTGCAAGGGCTTGAGGTGGCAAGAAGCAATCCGTCATGCCGCCGTGAAATCAGCGCGACCCTGAGGCGCTTTACCTCAATGTGCCCCTGGCCCCTGGAGTCTCCATCTTTTCGCTCCATTTTGGAGCCCCTGGTACCTTCTGGGTCTCGCGTGGAGTGCTCCGAAGCGCCGGGCCCGGTAGCCTGGAAACGGTGAAAAGACCCTGGATCTCTGTTGCTGAGGACTCCTTTTCTTCAGAGCGACCCTCCCGCCCTTTCCAGAATAACCCCCTGGACCTCTTTAAGGGTGCGCTTTGACCAATTCCGACAATGATCAAGCAACAGCGACGAGGAGCCTCCCGGAGGCCCAAGAACGGTGAAACACATCCACATGTCTCGACCCTCGATCCCCGAACCCTGATCATCCCAAACATCCTACGTCGTGATTTGTTTCACAGCGTGGCTCCGCTCAACTCCGAACCCCTTCCCCAGGACCGGTTTTTCATCCTGAACCGTTTTTTCCTTCAGACTGACGACGCGGAGTTGCCAGGGTTTGAGCATCTCGATCCTCGAACCCTGATGACCCGTTACAATCGATCACTCGATAAACACTGCGCCAGAGAAAGCGCAACGCACTGCAGAAAATCCGCCGATCCCTTGGGGATCATCGGCGTGTGAGATGCTTCCCCCTCCCCAAACCCGTCCCCCCAGAGCCCGGTCCGGTCGATGTGGAGGGGGGGGGCGTCTGGCCAAAGCTCACCAGGGGGGTCCGGCCCTTCCCGGGCTCCTCTTGGAGGTCCACGACAGCTTCTGGGGCCGCCCAAGAGGCCCCAAACACGGTCCAAGAGGGCCCCGAGACGCCGAAAGATCGTTCCAAGACGCCTAACATGGGCCGAAAGATCGTTCCAAGACGCCTAACATGGGCCGAAGACGGCCCAAGGGGCCGCCAAGACGTTCCAAGAGGCCTCCCAGGAGGCCTCCAAGAGGCCCAAATCGTCCAATTCCATTAGGAAAACATGCATTTCTAGCACATACGTTTTTTTCGGCCTTCGCAGCGCGGAAGCCCTTCCAAGATGCCTCCAAAACCGCTCTAAGACTGCCCCGTAGGCATCCAAGGAGCCCCCAACACGGCACAAGAGGCGCCCAAAGCGACCCAAAAGGGCCCCAAGACACGAACATTCCAGCCGTCCGCCCCTAAAGGCCCCCAGGAGGCCACAAGAGGCTCCAAAAAGGCGTCCAACCGGAACGGGCACTTCGAACTTTCGGCTCCAAGACGCCCCTAACGTGCCCCAGGGACCCCCAGGAAGTCTCGAAGAAAACAAAGGGGTCGGCGGTGTGGCGTAAGCCTAAGAATCCACGTCCGGAGGCGACGTGCTGAGCGGCAGCGTTTTCAGCGGAGGCGATAATGCAACGTACCCAATGTATCCAATGATTGCATAATTGCCACATGTTGCATTGTGTTACATTATTACTTCTCCCCCCCCTAGCCCCCCCTGGGAGCTGCGCCACAGGAACGGACCAAAAGGGCCACCCCCCTCCCGGGTCTCAAAAACCTCCCAAAACCTATAGAACATCTATGATTTCGGCTTCTTGGGCCTCCTGGGGGGCCAAGAGGGCGCCAAGACGGCTCAAGATGGGCTCTGTGCGGGCCAAGACGGCCCCGAGACCGTCCAAGACTGCCCCAAGGGGGCCCCCAAAGCCCCAATGACGGCCCAAGAGGGCCCAAGAGAGCCCACAACTGCGCCTCCAGAAACCAAAATCATTGATTCCCCTTTGGATTGGTAATATTTTAGCGTTCTCGCCTTTGCGGCCCAAGCAGCTCCCCAAATCGCTCCAGAACAACACAAGAGCCCCCAAGACAGCCTCCGAGGGGGCGAAACGGCGCAAAGCGCTCCCAAACGGCCCAAGACGCCCCCAAGAGGCCCCAAGAGGCCCCCAAGAAGCCTCCGAGAAGTCCCCCAGAAGCCTCCAATAGGCCCCCAAAAAACCCCCCAAAGGCCACACAGCGACTGGAGTGTAATGTTATTTCCCCCCCTCTGGGCGAACTGCGGCGCAGCGCCAGCCAGGTGGAAGTTTGTCACTGCGGCGCCCATGATTAGAGCCGGCGCTGGAAGGAAGATGGGGAGGGTGTGTGAAAAGGAGGGAGGGGGGAAAGGCCCCAAAGAGTTCCCCAAGAGGCCAAAAGAAACTCCCAGGAGGCCTCCAGGAGGCCCCCAAGAGGCTCCCAAGAGGCCCCGCGACGACGTGACTGTACGTGCTCCGGACGTGCACCCCGCGAAACGAGAGGAATCCACGTCCGGAAGTGACGTGCTGGGCGGCAGCGTTTTCTGCGAAGGCGATAATGCAACGTACCCAATCGATTCCATTATTACAGAATTGTACATCTTGAATTGTGTACAAAACTGGCCGTGCCAAACTGGCCCCCTCCTGTGGGGCGAAAAAACGTAACAAAACGCATGAAGAAACCATGATATCGGCCTCTGGGGCCTCCTGGGGCTCCACGAGGGCCTCCAGATGGCCCCAAAACGGCCCAACACGGCCCCAGGACGGCCAAAGATGGCCCCAAGGGGGCCCATGCGGCCCACAAGACAACCCAAAAGCGCCCCAGGAGGACCCCCAATAACTCTTCCAGGGCCCAAACCGATGATTTCCTATGGTTTTTGACAGATTTTAGCGTTCTCGTTTTTTCGGCTCTCCGAGGGCCGTGACGGCCCAAGCAGTCTCCAAGAGGCCCAAAGACGGCCCAAGAGGCCCCCAAAGACGGCCCATGAGGGGTCCGAGACGGCCAAAAGATGCCCCCAAGACGGCCCAAGAGGCCCTCAAGACGGCCCAAGATGACCCCAAGAGAGCCCCAAGGCGACGGCGAGCTGCCTCCAAGATGGCCTCTGAAGGGGCCAGACGGCGTATGAGCGCTCCCAGACGGCCCAAGACGTACCCAACAGACCCCAAGAGGCCCCAAAGAGGCCCCAAAGAAGCCCCAATAGGCCCCCAAGAGGCTTCCAAGAGGCTCTCAAGAGGCCCCCAGGAGGCTCCCAAGAGGCTCCTCCAAGAAGCCTCCCCCCAAGAGGCCTCGAGAAAACATGCAGACGCCTGCGTACTCGTATATGATAGCACGTTCTTGGGGCGGGCCGAACGGCACGGCTCCACAACGACATCCTTACTGCACGTGCTGTGCTCCGACAAGAAAGGCGAGAGAGCCATCAACTGGACTGCGCGTCTTCTCTTCCCATGCTGTTGTTTCGTGGGTGCGGTCGCCAAGGGCTCGGGCGATAGTGCGGGCACTGCAGGCGGCGAACTCGCCGATCGCACCAAGACAGCCCAAAGGTACCCAAGATCGCACCAAGACAGCCCAAAGGCCCTGAATATGGTCCCCCCCAAATGCCCTGAGGGGCTCCAATCAAGCCCCAAAACGACTGGCCTGTACGTGCTCTGGACGTGCACCCCGCGAAGCGAGAGGAATAATTTAACTACGCTGCTATCGCGGACTGCAGTTCTCGGCCCAAGGCAGGCAGATCAACCGAGGGACCAATCCTGGCATCGGTCCCTGGGGGGAGGCCCCTTTGAAATTTCCTCTCAGACGAAGCGGTACCCGCGCAAGGGTGAAGTAGCACTCTGCATGTGGTGAGCACGCCACGTTCAGATTAGTAGACCATAGGGAAGCCACTGTTCTGGACCTCGAACCCTGATCTTCAAACAGCGAAGATGTCAGGGTATAGACATCTCGATCCTCGATCCTCGAACCCTGATCCTCGCTCCAGGACCCCTCGCCGTCAGGACCCCCTTTGGCCCGCGGCGGCCCTCCGCGGGCATGACGTCGTGCACCGCCTCGACGCCGGTGCCGTCGCGGCGGCCAAAGGCCTGAGCCTGAAGTAGCTGGGGGAGCGCGGTGGTGGAGCCTCCCAGCGGGCGCGTTCTCGCATACACTTTTTTGTCGTCGCGGCCATGTGCGCAGCTGCGTAGCGGAGTCGGGCTAGGGCCGAGGAGCGAGCACGGGCGCAGGCCAGCTCAGAGGTAGCAGGGGCATGTCGGATCCACCCACAGGGGACCGCGCAACATGACTCGCGGAGGGGGGGGCCGGCCGGGGGGGGGAGGGAGAGGGTATTCTGGCACACACACACACACGCACACATCAAATGAGGTCTCCCACTTTAGTTTACAGCCGCAGTGAATCGTATACGTAGTGTACTGACGAGATGCAGGGGGGAAGGAACAAATATATCTATATATATACGTCTCTATATATATATATATATATATATATGTTTGTATGTATGTATGTATGTATGTATGTATGCATGTATGTATGTATGTATGTATGTATGTATGTGTGTGTATGTATGTGCGTATGTGCGTATGTATGTATGTATGTATGTATGTATGTATGTATGTATGTATGTATGTATGTATGTATATATGGAGAGAGAGGCACACACATATTCAGAGGCAGAGAGGGAGAGAACAACCAAGGGCAATCGCATGCTTACTTCCGAGAAGACACCGCCAAAGGTCCCCCACGCTCATGTTTGAAATGCGCGGTCTCGAGTCCTCTCTCTTCGACTTCCTCATTCACCTACCTCCCATCAGCCGCCACCGTGCCGCAGGAACTGAGTGGAGAGTGGATTGTTCTTCTGATCCCTGAGAGCCCCAATATGGAAGATTGGAGCCTCAATGTGGAGTGTTGTAGTCCTCTGCGAAACGCTGGGCCCCCAATTGCCAAGATTGCTGGGCGCTGCCGCGCGCTTCCTGGGCGATCCCGGGAAGAGGGGGAGGAGAGGTCGGACAGGGATGGGGAGAATGAGGATGGGGTAGGAGGAGGAGAGGGAAGACGAAGACTATCACGGGACGATCATGCCTTGGCACAGAGGGCCGTCCGCGAGCAGGCCCAAGTGGAGGCGGGCATGGACTTGTACACAAGGCCGGTGCAATCTGAAAAAATATGCGAATGCTGTGTCTCGCAGGCGGGACGCTCCATCACCGAGATGGCGAAACCGCCCCGTAGCCACAGCCATGCCCCCAAGAGACATCGGGCCAAACGCCCGAACCGAAACAGAAGTTTCTCGGTTTCCCCGACCTCTTTGTCCAGGGCTCATCGCCAACCCATACTACCGGGAATTCTCACCACTCCCATGCATACACGTTTATATGCACATGTTTACATAACCTGTAGATTTAAACATACACACACATATATATATATATATATATATGTATACTAGAACCATCGCGCGTGCTTCGCGCGCGCTCAGGTTCTAGCCCAGGCCGGGGGGGCGCTGGACGATCTTGGACAACGCTATCAAGCACAGGCGCGCGACGGCATCTGAGGAGCTTCTGGGGTGTTCCGCATGCTTCGTCAACTGGCTGTTGGAGGCACCTCTTGGGTGCCTCTTGGGGGGGCGTCTGAGGGTCCCTTGGGGGCATCGGTTCTGCAATCTGAAGCCGTCATTGGCCGTCTTGGCTGCGTGGAGGCCCGACTTGAGGCCACCTGCGGCCAGATTGAGGCAATCCGGAAGCCTCCCGGGGGCCTCCTGGAAGCAGTTTTGATGCATTTGGGGCACTCTTGGGCTATTTTAAAACCTCTTGGACGTCTCCCAGGGGCCTTTTGGGCCCTCGGGGAGCTTTTGGGGTCCTCGTCGGACCACTTTGGGGCCTCTTGCAGCCTCCTGTGGGCCTTGTGGGGGGACCGCTCTGCTGTTGGGTCGCGTTCCCCTTCTCGGGCCTCTCTTGGGGCTCTTGGGGCCCTCTCGGGCCGTCTTGGGCGCCTCAAGCACCGTCTTGGGGCCCTCGCGGGCCGTCTTGGGGCCCTCTTGGAGGCCTCTTCCTCTATGTGGGAGCGGTATTGGAAGCCTTTGGGGCCGTCTTGGAGCATCGGGATGCCAAAAGGCCGAAAAAAACCGTCAAAGCCCAATCGTAAAACAATGAGTTGTGCCTCTTGGGGCCACCTTGGGAGATCTCTTGGAGCCTCGTCGGCCCTCTTGGGAGCTTCTTGGGGGCCTCTTGGATCCGATTGGGGGCCTCCTGGGACTTCCCGAGAACCTCTCGGGGTAGAAAGCTCGGATTCTCGGTTCATGTTTCCCTTCTTGGGCCTCTCTTGGGGCCGTCTTGGGGCCCTCTCGGGCCGTCTTGGGCGCCTCAGGCACCGCCTTGGGGCCCTCGTGGGCCGCCCAGGGCCCTCTTGGAAGCCTCTTCGGCTATCTTGGAGCTGTCTGGGAGGCCTCTTCCTCCTCCTCGTCCCCCTCCTCCTCCTCCCACTCCAGCTCTCTCTCTCCTCCTGATCTTCCTCCTCCTGCAGCGTGTTCCGGAAGGCTCCCGCCGGAACATGCTGTGCACGAGTGCTGTCACTGCTCCCGCCACCGTGCCCTGGGTGGTGGGTCAGAGGCCTCATGGGTGTTGCTTTGGATCTCGTGGTTGGCCTGTCGGGGACGTCGTGAAGGCAGTTTCGCAGCTTCTCGGTAGCCGTTTTGGGACCGTTGTGGGGCCTCCTCGGGCTGCTTTGTGGCCTCTTTAGGCCTCGTTTGGGCCTCCTGGGTGCCTCTTGGGGGCCTCCTGGGGCCTCTTGGGGGCTCCTTGGGGCCTCCTGGGGCACTCTTCAAGCGGGAGGGTCGAATTTTGGAGTCGTGGTCCCCCTCTTGGGCGCATCTTGGGGCCGTCTTGGGGCTCTGTTGGGCTGTCTTGGGCGACTCTGGGGCCGTCTTGGGGCCCTCTTGGGCCGTCTTGGGGCGCTCTTGGGGGCCTATTGAGCCGTCGTGGAACGTCGGACAGCCGAAAAGGCTGGAAGGCCAAAATCGTTCGAAAACCTTCGTAAACTTGACGATTTCGGCCTCTGGAAGCGCTCTGGAGAGGCGTCTTGAAGCGTCGTGGAGTGCCTTGGGGGGCCTCTCGGGCCGTCTTGGGCCTATCTTGGGCGTCCTGGAGCGGTCTTTCGGCGACTCGAGGCCCGCTTGGGCCGTCTTGGGAGCCTCTGGAGGCCCTCCTGGACTATTTTGGACCTCCCCGGCCGCCCCTCCTCCCAAGGGGGGTCGGAGGCGGCGCCCTACGAGGCCCAGGACGCGGAAACCCTTTTTAAAAACACAGGGAAAATTAGCCCCAGTACCCCCATGGAGGCTTTCGGCGCTCTTGGACCGATGGGAGCTCGAAAACGCGAGAAGCCAAAAACATTAAAAAGAACATTGAACATATACGACTTTGGCCTCTCCGGGCCGTACTGCGATACCTATCAGACTTCTTGGGGTCTCTTGGAGGCCACCTGGGAGCCTCGAGAGCCGTCGGAAGGCTGACTTGGGCTGCTCGGGAGCGTCTTGGGCCATCCTTTCGCATTCTGGGGGCTCCTAGGAAGCGTCTTGGGCCCTCCTGGAGCGCTGTGGAGGCTGCCCAGAAAGGCTGGGGCAGCAGTGCCGGGAGCGTCCCCGAGATGTGGCCATATCTTTTCAGCGCGTTCCAGGAGCATCTTCCCGGAACGCGCTCGTGGCAGGGTGCCCACGTCCGAGGACGTTGGCATGGGAAACCGCAGCGTGTGATCATTCCAGCGCGTTCCGGCGAAGACCGTCCGGAATGCGCTTGGGCAAGCGCTGGGTTTGAGGAAGGCGAGTGGGAACCGTTCAGGCTGTTTGGGATGCTCGGGGCAAGAGGCGGAAGCCATCCTCAGAAGACATGCTTCCTGGAGCCGTCTTGCAGAAAACAAAAAAATGAGACCCTGCAGTCGTTCCTGGAGCCGTCTTGGAGCCCTCTTGGGCTGCCCTGGAGCCTGTTGGAGCCCTCTGCGGAATGGTCTTGGAGCCCGCGCCGGGGATCTGGAAAATGTCCGGGACCATCGCGGCGGCCTCCGAGGCCCGGGACGCCGAAACCCCGTGAAAACACAGCGAAAATAAGCTCTGGTACTCGCATGGAGGGTCGGGCAGCTGTTTTCGGGCCCCTGGGTTAGAACCATCCTGCGCGCTTCGCGCGCGCTCAGGTTCTAGCCCAGGCCGGGGGGGCGCTGGACGATCTTGGACAACGCTATCAAGCACAGGCGCGCGACGGCATCTGAGGATCTTCCAGGGTGTTCCGCATGCTTCGTCAACTGGCTGTTGAAGGCACCTCTTGGGTGCTTCTTGGGGGGGCGTCTGAGGTCCCTTGGGGGCATCGGTTCTGCAATCTGAAGCCGTCATTGGCCGCCTTGGCTGCGTGGAGGCCCGACTTGAGGCCACCTGCGGCCAGATTGAGGCAATCCGGAAGCCTCCCAGGGGCCTCCTGGAAGCAGTTTTGATGCATTTGGGGCACTCTTGGGCTATTTTAAAACCTCTTGGACGTCTCTCAGGGGCCTTGTGGGCCCTCGGGGAAGCTTTTGGGGTCCTCGTCGGACCACTTGGGGGCCTCTTGCGGCCTCCTGTGGGCCTTGTGGGGGGACCGCTCTGCTGTTGGGTCGCGTTCCCCTTCTTGGGCCTCTCTTGGGGCTCTTGGGGCCCTCTCGGGCCGTCTTGGGCGCCTCAAGCACCGTCTTGGGGCCCTCGCGGGCCGTCTTGGGGCCCTCTTGGAGGCCTCTTCCTCTATGTGGGAGCGGTATTGGAAGCCTCTTGGGCCGTCTTGGAGCATCGGGATGCCAAAAGGCCGAAAAAAAACGTCAAAGCCCAATCGTAAAACAATGTGTTGTGCCTCTTGGGGCCACCTTGGGAGATCTCTTGGAACCTCGTCGGCCCTCTTGGGAGCTTCTTGGGGGCCTCTTGGATCCGATTGGGGGCCTCTTGGGACTTCCCGAGACCCTCTCGGGGTAGAAAGCTCGGATTCTCAGTTCGTGTTTCCCTTCTTGGGCCTCTCTTGGGGCCGTCTCGGGGCCCTCTCGGGCCGTCTTGGGCGCCTCAGGCACCGCCTTGGGGCCCTCGTGGGCCGCCCAGGGCCCTCTTGGAAGCCTCTTCGGCTATCTTGGAGCTGTCTGGGAGGCCTCTTCCTCCTCCTCGTCCCCCTCCTCCTCCTCCCACTCCAGCTCTCTCTCCTCCTGATCTTCCTCCTCCTCCTGCAGCGTGTTCCGGAAGGCTCCCGCCGGAACATGCTGTGCACAAGTGCTGTCACTGCTGCCGCCACCGTGCCCTGGGTGGTGGGTCAGAGGCCTCATGGGTGTTGCTTTGGATCTCGTGGTTGGCCTGTCGGGGACGTCGTGAAGGCAGTTTCGCAGCTTCTCGGTAGCTGTTTTGGGACCGTTGTGGGGCCTCCTCGGGGCTGTTTTGTGGCCTCTGTAGGCCTCGTTTGGGCCTCCTGGGTGCCTGTTGGGGGCCTCCTGGGGCCTCTTGGGGGCTCCTTGGGGCCTCCTGGGGCACTCTTCAAGCGGGAGGGTCGAATTTTGGAGTCGTGGTCCCCCTCTTGGGCGCATCTTGGGGCCGTCTTGGGGCTCTGTTGGGCTGTCTTGGGCGACTCTGGGGCCGTCTTGGGGCCCTCTTGGGCCGTCTTGGGGCGCTCTTGGGGGCCTATTGAGCCATCTTGGAACGTCGGACAGCCGAAAAGGCTGGAAGGCCAAAATCGGTCGAAAACCTTAGTAAAATTGACGATTTCGGCCTCTGGAAGCACTCTGGAGAGGCGTCTTGAAGCGTCGTGGAGTGCCTTGGGGCGCCTCTCGGGCCGTCTTGGGCCTATCTTGGGCGTCCTGGAGCGGTCTTTCGGCGACTCGGGGCCCGCTTGGGCCGTCTTGGGAGCCTCTGGAGGCCCTCCTGGCCCATGGGGGGTCGGAGGCGGCGGCCTCCGAGGCCCAGGACGCGGAAACCCTGTAAAAACACAGGGAAAATGAGCCCCGGTCCCCCCATGGGGGGTGGGGGCACCTGTTCTGGGGCCCCCAGCCTCGCCCCCAGGGATATATATATATATATATATATATATATATATAGATGTGGATAGACGTACCCTACATGCGCACGCCATCGGATTCCTTCGCTCACATAAATGCGGGACTGAACTTGAACCTCGCCATCAACCTGCGTCCTGGAAGGGGGTAAGTGCGCAATGACCTCGATGCCGTCCTTCCCGAGCACGGTGAGCGTTCTTCAGTTCACGATTGCCCGCGCAACTATTCGGGCCCGATGTACTAGGCGGATTCCATGTGCATGCGCATCGTGGTGAAGTGGCGGCTACACCAGATCCACCTCCGCCTCCCCTTAACAGTTTGTTGGTCACCAGCGAAAGCGGGCGCTAGCGCGTCAGATAGCCGACGGGCCGCGCCGGGCTATCGGCAAACGAAGACAGCTGTAAGAAGAGAGAGCGGCCGCAGAGGAAGAAAAAGGGAGATAGGCCCCATGCGTAGACAGTCTGCGCCTCGAGGGGCGCGCAGGCAGCCTCAGGCACCATGAGCCGGTGTACTCACAGGTTGTGCGGGAATGTGCGTGCTGCCGAAGGGGGGACGGCGCGGGGAGCCATCGCAGAGGCACGGTCCTCATCAGATGGGCAGCGGGCAAAATGCCGTCGAGGAGCTAGGACCTTCGGAGGTCGTCTCTAGGGAGGACAGGCAAACCATGGGTGGCCAGGCTTTGCTGCTAGCCTCCTGGGTGTGATTGCCAAGCAAGCGCAAGACCACCCCACAACATAATCACAGAGAGGGTACGAAAAGATGATATAGAGGGGAAGATTCAAGGCCTGGGCCCGGACCGCTCCAAGGCGCAAGGTCGGCTCCGGAATATTGGATCGCGATCCAAACCTGTCGGCTGGGTGACGACCTCGAGACACCATCGGATCGCGGCCCGATCCTTCTTGGATCGCGATTATGTTGGTTTTCCCTACGCGACGATCGTCATTAGCCAGTGAACCCTAAACGTCGGGTAGCATGGGTGATACTTGTTATTGCATGGGTGGGCGTGCTTCGTGATGAACGCACCTGTTGAACATGGGTCGACACTGATGCTCTGAAAGACAGAAGTAATATGCCAAGACAGAAAGTAGCATAGAAGCATAGCGCACCACGCCACAATACCAGAAGAAACTGATGGATTATGTCCGTCGTTCAAAATGATAGCATCCATCGTCAGGCCCGCTGACCATGGCGTCGTCCACGGTCGTTGTGTTCCTTTCGCATGTGGGCCAGAACAATCTGGCCTGCAGCGGCGGCGGGTGCCGCCGGCACATCCTGTTCATCGCGTTGACCTATCCTCTCTCGAACCATGCCTCCTGCAACCCATCTCTGGCTCGCCGCAAGGGGTCCACTTTCAAACTGGCCGTCGCAACGCCCGCAGCGCGCCCCCGACTCCTGCCTCTCCTCTGCTCTTCCTCCTCTGCCTCCTCTCGGCACGCCCGAAATGGTTACAGAACGCATCGGCACAACCATGGTGCTACCCTCAGGAAGGCTGAAAGAGTAACGATGGCGTTTCTCTAGCCGCGCCGAGCCTCGGTGACGAAAAGGGTCCCCAGCCTAGATCTGAGGCTAGGCCAGAAAATTCAAGCCCATCCTGGGCCCCCATGTGGTGATTATTTCAGCGTCTTGGCAACACGATGCCCAATAGCAGATGCTGCCCCTCCCATAGTGACAACGGCTGCTGATGGGCAGGCGACTTTTTGTGTCTCAAGTGGGCAACCTCCGCGGCGACGCCGGCAGCGAATCACGATCAAAATGGGCAGGAACAGCTGCCGGACTCTGTCTCCGGTCATTCCATGTAAATTCGATCGTATCGATCCTCCCTCGGGTTTGTCCAACAAGGGGCGTTCACGAGGGGGGGCAGCAAATCATGGCCCGAGGCATGTGCGCGGACGAGGAGGGGGGACCAAGGGATATACCAATACGACCACCCTGCGGGTGATAAGCAGGTTTGGGGGGGAGGGGGCCAGCAATGCGCAACAGTGGTGATTGTTGTTCTGACGATGCCAGTGGAGATCGTTGCGTTGCCGCTCGCTCTTGGGAGCCTTGGTGTCGAGTTATTTGAGTCACCATTCGCTCTTGGGCGCCTTGGTACCATTACCCCCCCTCCCCCGGGAACCAGCGAAAGTATGATCGATCGTCGATAGGATGATCGATCTCAGTATCGATCACCCTATCGATCTCACTATCGTTCCCTCTATCGGTCTCATCGATCTAACTATCGATATCATGTTCGATATCACTATCGATCTCAGCACGTGAAACCACAGGACACCGACGGGACAACGATGAGACACCGACGGGACACAATCGATCTCACTGTCGATCTCACTATCCATCCCACTATCGATCCCACTATCGATCTCGCTATCGATCTCACTATCGATCTCGCTTTCGATCTCACTATTCATCTCACGATCGATCCCACTATCGATCTCGCTATCGATCCCACTCGATCGATCTCACTATCGATCTCACTATCGACATCACGATCGATCTCACTATATCTCTCAATATCGATCTCTCACCATAGATCTCACTATCGATCTCACTATCGGTCTCCTTATCGATCTCACTATCGATCTCACTGTCGATCTCACCGCGGGACACCACGGGACAACGACGGGACACCGGCGGGACACCAGCGGGACACCAGCGGGACACCGGCGGGACACCGGCGGGACACCGCGCGCCACCGGTTGCCGGGCGGAGAACCTTTTGGTCTGGCCGCGGCCCAGCCACAGGAGAATTTCCTCTCCCCCGCCCACGCAGCTTCGCCTCGCCCGCACGCACCGCACGAACACGAAACCGACATCGATTTCCCGGTAGGGGGGCTCTCCGTTCCACTTCGATCTCACCCCCCAACCTTCGATTGAAATAACAAGAGGGGGCCGTGACATGTGGGAAATATCATGGCCCTGACCATTCTACCCATCCCCTCCTACTCATCACCCCCCTCTTGGCCGCCCACGACTCCTCCTCCTCCTCCTCCTCCTCCTCCTCCTCCTCCTCCTCCTCCTCCTCGGTCTGGGGGCCTGGGCCTCGGCCGCGCCGGCGTGCCCAGCCGCCAGCGCGCGGGAGCCGTGCAGGAAGCGCTCGTCGTAGGCCCTCACCTGGGCGGGAGGGGGCAGGGTCTCAGGGGAGGGTCAGGGAAGGGTTTGCGGCCAGGAGCTTTTGCTTAGCGTGTCGCGGCGGCGGCCCTGGCGATACGTCATGCCATGCAAGCGGACAGCGTGTCGCCCCGCGTCGATTCGACACAGCCTACGCGGGACACGGGGCCCTGATCCTCCTCCTACTTCTCACGCTGGCCCTCCCGCGCTGCTCCGCCGGGGGCCTGACGCCGCGAGGTGGCGGCGGCTGCGGCGTAACTCCCCGCCTGTGGACCGCCTGGCTCCTTCTGCGCTGTCCCCCTGGCCAGAGCCATCATGGGGCTCGGCAGCGTGCCAGGTGCATCAGCCACCATAAGGCGATGCCACCCGACAGCACCGGAGGCCACCACAAGGCTTCCAACGGCGTTCAAGTGTGGATGGGGGCACGGGCGAGAGGGACCTTCTGGAACTCATTGCCTTCAATGGAAATCCCCACCACCCCTGGCTCAGTACGTGCGGCGTTAGGGGGGGGGGCGGCCCGCGCACCCACTCTCCCACCTAGGGGAGGGTGCGAAGTCCCTGTGTGCGGGACGGGGTGGGCAAGGTGGGACACCGTAGGTCCCCCAAACATCAAGGCACGGGCACCATACGCCTGGCCGACACTTCAGGGGAGGCACCACACGCCTCCCCGCCAATGTTGTATTCTGCGTCATACGCGAAGTAATTAGTTTACTGTGTGCATTCATTGACTTCAGGGTCTCCTCCTCCTCCTCCTCCTCCTCCTCCTCCTCCTCCTCCTCCTCCCCTTCCTCAATCTCTTACTCCCGATGGTCGGGTGGCAGGAGGGTCAGGTGGTCGGACAGCGGGTCTCCTGTGGGAGGTGGGGGGCAGGAGCGCGCCGCCTCTCTGCGAGGTCTTGTCTGTAGAACATGGTGCTCTGAGCTCGTGCGGGGTTGGTCTGGATGCGGGGCATCGAAGCACTCCGTGCTGAGTTTCCACACGGGCGCGGCCTGGGACACACAGGAGATGATGAGGCCGATGCTCTGACTGGGTGCTGCTGGGCAATTCTGAGACAGGAGGGGCATGCGCTGGAACTGCAAGTGGGGCTGTTGGGAGATGCCCTCCCGAACCCGCAAGAAAACAGCATATCCGCTCGTCCCTGCGGTGGGCGCAGCGAGATTTCGTGTTCCCTATGCCCTCTTTTGCTCCTGTGACGCTGCAAGTCCCAGAAGTGAACGGGACCTTCCGTGCCTGTTTAGGGGTGGGTTCACCCAGCGCCCTGGGCTGCACGAGTGTTGATGGCAATTTTATCAGGTAGCATCTCTTCACGGACTGCGAGGTGGGGATCGCTTTTGCTTTTGGTCACCTCCAGGTGGCGCTCGTTGGGCTCCCAAGGGCGCGTCCGGCACGGGGGGTGACGGTCCCGCAACTGCTATGTATAGGTATCAGTGTGAGAGAGGGCCCTTCGTTTGCCTCAGCATCCCCGGTTTTGGACCAGAGGCAGCTCTCCGAGCTCAGGGAGGTGGCCGCCCTTGGATCAGACAGGCGGTTGTGGGTGACGCACAGGGGTGCTGGCGGCGTGGCGTGGCTCATGTGCACCCTCTACCCGCCCCCTCTGCCCAAGTCTGGGTGCGATGAAGAATGGCAGAGAGAGCTGGACGGGCTCAGGGAGGACGTCAGGGAAATCAGCGGAGCGAGCCCATGGGCTCCACTCCCCATTCCGATAGTCCCCTTGGGCGACATCGACATGCAACCAGCGGCTCTTGGGGGGAATAGGGAGACTGCCAGGGCGCGTGACCGGGGCTGGGCCGCTCTCCTGGAGGACCGGGGTCTTGCGCACCTCAGCCCCCCGGATGGCCAGGGCCCGCAGACAGAGATCTGGCTGCCTCGTCGGAGCGAAGCGGTCTTCCTTCGTCCGGGGGGCACGCACCATGGCGGCACCCCGAGGTGCATTGATGCGGTAGTGGCGGCCCCCTCGCAGTGGGCCCCGCGGTTGTGCACAACGGGTTGCAGTGCTCCTCGGAGGGGCCCTGCGGGTGGCCAGAGTGTGTCGACTACTCGTCGGGGGACTCTTCATCGAAGTGCAGGTCCCGCTTGCAGTGCGTTCAGGACGCAGGGTGGGGTCCACGCTGCGGATGCCCCTCTGGCGACTGGGTTGACCCTCCTGGGCAGCCGGGCTTGTGGCGTCGGGGTGTGCATTCCAATGCCTGAAGGGCCTCCTGCGGTCGGTTTGCGCGGGACAAGGACGAGGGCCGTATGGGGTCAAGCTGCATCGGGTAGCGGCACAGTGGCTCTGCGATGCCCTGGAGCGGCTGCTCCGCATCATCCTGGCTCTCGCCATGGCGGGGTGGGTGGTCCCGGCCTACGCAGGCTCCAGCCACCGGAGGGAAAACACGGGGGGACAGGAAAGGCAGCGCCCTACTGTTCAGCCTGCGCAGTGTCTGAGGGCAGAGGAGGTGGTCCTCTCCCCTGCAGACTCGCTGGCTGCTTGGCGCTCGCAGATCTGGGACCAATCCAGGTGGCCAGGCGAGTGGGACGAGCAGCGGCATGCCGCGGTCCAGGCCTCGTTGCGGACCCAGGCGGGAAGGTCTTGGGCGAGTCGAGGGCGCGGAGAGCTTGACGGGCCCATAGTCCAAAACGAAGACCAGAGCCTGCTGGCGGGGGGGTCCACCACGGGTGCGACGACGCCAGGGCTTGTTCGTCGCCTAGTTCTCCATCACTCATGTGCCTCGCTGGACACGGTGGTTTGGTTGATCTTGCTCGTGACGGGTCCCAGCTTCGTGGCCATGCGGCCGCGGGGGTGGATGAGCCTCTGCGCCGTGCCCCTCCACAACGCCGGCCCCCCAGAGCTCGGGGAGAACTTCTGGCGAATCATGGTTGAGACGTAGTTCGGCTTGCACCGGCAATTTGACCCCCCCCAGGGCCCGGCGCGACCCCGAACGAAACGCGTCATGGGGAGCAGAGGGCTCCAAAACGGGCCAATAAGACACCAAAACGCTCCCCAGACGGTCCCAGAGGGCCACGAGTCGCCGGAATATCGCTCCTTGACGCCCACGATGGCCTCCAGACGGCCTCCGAAGCTGCCAAGACGCTCCAAAAGTCCCCCAAGATACGTCCAAAGAGGGTCCCAAGAAACAAAAGTCGCCAAATTCCTTGAAAAAACAACATGTTTCGCATACTCGCCTTTTCGGCTTTCACCAAGTCCAAGACGGGCCAAGAAACCTTCAATATCGCCCCTGGACGGCCGCAGGGGCACCCAAGAGGGATTGCAGAGGGTCCAAGAACAGCCCACGAAGCCCCCAAGACAGCCCAAGAGGGCCCCCCAGACGGCTCCAAGAGGGAGTCCAGATGACACCTTTTCGAGCCTTCGGCCCCAAGACGCCCCCAGCCTGCCCCAAGAACACCTCTAGAGGCCCCGAGGGACCCCCAAGAGAACCTCAAAGGCCTCCAAGAAACCTGCAGAAAGCCCCCAAGAGGCCCCCAAACTTGGCCCAAGATGCCTCGAGGCGGCCGGATATGGCCTGCAGACAAGCCAAGATGCCACCAAACGGCCACAACAAAAAACCAAGACGTACGATAACAGTAACGAAGCAACAGGAACGATGTCGAACGCCATGTCGTGATTCGGAAACGCTTCGTGACATGCAATCCTTGAGGCGCAATAGTTTATATAGGGGTCGGCGGATGTGGCGTAAGCCTAGACTCCACGTCCGGAGGTGACGTGTTGCCGGAGGCAGGTCCGCGGAGGCTATACTGCAACGTATCAAGTGTGTCCGAAGATTGCATCATTGCTACATATTGTATTGTGTTACATTATTATGTACTCCCCCAACCCCCCCAGGGGCCACACCACTTCCGCCGACCCAAAGTGGCCCCTCCCTCCAGCGCTTCAAAAACCTACAGAATCCAACCAAAACCTATGGAACGTGAGTTGGGCCCCGTCGCCCTCTTGGGGCCCCACGAGGGCGTCCAGACGGCCCAAAATTCATTATGAAAGTTGGAAGCCTTTAAAAACGAACGTGGCCAGACAGCGCAAGAGCGCCCCCAAGACGCCCACACGGGGCTCCGAGAGGCCCCCAAGAGGCCTCCCAGAGGCCCCCAAGAGGCCTCACAGACGCCCTCGCGAGGACCCAAGAAGCCCCAAAGAGGCCTCCAAGGGGCCCCCAAGAAGTTCCCAGAGGCCCGACAACGACTGGACTGTACGTGCTCCGGACGTGCACCCCAGGAAGCGAAAGGAATCCACGTCCGGAGGTGACGTGTTGCCGGAGGCAGGTCCGCGGAGGCTATAATGCAACGTATCCAATGTATCCAATGATTGCAGAATTGTTACATATTGTATTGTGTTACATTATTATGTACTCCCCCACCCCCCCCAGGGGCCACACCACTTCCGCCGACTCAAAGTGGCCCTTCCCTCCAGCGCTTCAAAAACCTACAGAATCCAACCAAAACCTATGGAACGTGAGTTGGGCCCCGTCGCCCTCTTGGGGCCCCACGAGGGCGTCCAGACGGCCCAAAATTCATTATGAAAGTTGGAAGCCTTTAAAAACGAACGTGGCCAGACAGCGCAAGAGCGCCCCCAAGACGCCCACACGGGGCTCCGAGAGGCCCCCAAGAGGCCTCCCAGAGGCCCCCAAGAGGCCTCACAGACGCCCTCGCGAGGACCCAAGAAGCCCCAAAGAGGCCTCCAAGGGGCCCCCAAGAAGTTCCCAGAGGCCCGACAACGACTGGACTGTACGTGCTCCGGACGTGCACCCCAGGAAGCGAAAGGAATCCACGTCCGGAGGTGACGTGTTGCCGGAGGCAGGTCCGCGGAGGCTATAATGAATGCAACGTATCCAATGTATCCAATGATTGCAGAATTGTTACATATTGTATTGTGTTACATTATGATGTCTCCCCCCCTAGGGGGTACGCCGCATCCGTCGACCCAAAGCGGCCACCCCCATTTGGGGCTCAAAAGCGTACCAAAACCTATGTAAAATCGATGATTCGGGCCTTTGGGCCCTCTGGGAGGCCTTATAGGGCCTCAAGACGGCTCCATATGGCTTCAAGACGGGCGAAGACGGCTCCAAAACGGTCCATGATGGCCCCAAAAGGACCCAAGAAACTCCTAAGACGTCCCCGACCCCCAAGAGTGCCTCCAAAAGCCAAAACCATCAATTATCCTTTTCTTTTTGTAAAATAATGATTTTAGCGTTCTCGCCTTCTCGACTCTCAGAAGCCCATGGCCGCCCAGGCAGCCACCACAATTGTCCCTAAAAGGCCCAAGAAGTCCCAAAAGGGCCCCCAAACTGCCCAGGAGGGCCCCAAGACGGCCCAACGAAGCCCCCAAGGCCTGCGACGGCCCAAGAGGACCCCAAGAGAACCCCAAGAGAACCCCAAGGCGGCCGCGAGAGGCCCCCAAGACGGCCTCCGAAGGGGCGGAACGGCGCAAAAGCGCCCCAAGACGGCCCAAAACGCCCCCAAGAGGCCACGAGAGGCCCCCAAGAGGCCCCCAAGGGGCTCCAAAAAAACACCCAAGAGGCCTCCAAGAAGTCCCCAAGAAGCCTCCAAGAGGCCTCAAAGAAGCCCCCACAAGGCCACACAACGACTGGAGTGTACATAATGTTATTTTTCTCCCCCTGGGCGAACTGCGGCGCAGCGCCAGCCAGATGGAAGTTGGTCACGGCGGCACCCATGATTAGAGCCGGCGCCAGAAGGGAAGATGGGGAGGGAGTATGAAAAGGAGGGTGGGAGAGGCCCCAAAGAAGTCCCCAAGAGGCCCAAAGAAGCTCCCAAGAGGCCTCCAGGAGGACCCCAGGAGGCTCCCAAGAGGCCCCGCGACGACGTGACTGTACGTGCTCCGAACGTGCACCCCGCGAAGCGAAAGAAATCATGGTTAAGACGTAGTTTGGCTTGCTCCGGGAGACCATTCTGTGCCAGTGGGCGAAGGCAAAGGTGGAGTCCTCGGTCCTCCCTGGCCAGAGTGGCTATGTGCGGGACGTCGGGGACGCCCATCTCCTCCTGCATGAGCTCGCGTCGCAGGCGGTGGACTAGGGAAGGGCCCTGTGGGCAGTCTCGGGCGACCTCTAGACTCTAGAAAGCCTTGCCGAGGGTCTGGAGGGAGGGACTGCTGCACCGCGTGTCCACGCACGTTGGGCTCCAGGGAAGAGGGTGCCTCGCTCCGCTGTGCAGGTCCTCAAGGAGGACATGTCGCACGTCAGCACAAACGAAGTGGCCGTCGTCTGCTGCATTACGCAGGGCAGTGCTGAGGGGGGCACGATGGGGCCGATGTTCCTTCCGTGCTACATGGGCGGCTTGTCGCAGGCGCTGGGGGACGTGGGGCTCGGGGTGGGCCTGGGGCTGAAGACGCTCATGGCGTGGCGGGGCAGAACACGGAAATGCACCAACCTCCCCAGGGACGACATGGTGGATGCCCAGCAGCGCGCCATCC